TATGTCTACATAACATTAGTTTTACTACTAGGGGGTGTGCGATAGACTTACCTCCACGTGGTGCACCCTGGGCAACGTATACTCATACGGCAAAAAAGTCTATCAACTGGCAGTTGACCTCTGACTTCAAACTACCATGACCCCACTGTATGTCATATTCGACCCCTTCCACAGTACCCATCTTACCTTTTTCTCTACCTTTGTGTCCGTCTATCTCTTTTACATCTGCGAAACGCTCTTCTTTTCCCATGTCGAATTTTTCTCACTTTCATGTTCCTCCCTTCTGTGAAGCCCGAAGTCAACTAAAGGGCTAATGATAACTATCAAAACGCCTGCCATTTGATATAGATAGATAGTTTTACTACTAGCAAATAAAAGATCCACATTGATTATAGATGGAATGAGCCAAAGTTCAGACAACAGCAGACTGTGCTAACATATTGCCTGATAATAAACAGTAGAGTTGATATTGATTAAAATATTTTTCACTAACCCATCGGCGCAGTGTTGGGTCGCAACCGCCAAAATAGACACGCTCGTAGATTTCACGGATGTGGTTTGTCTAAATAATTGAAGAAATTTATGTTAAGCATCATAACAACAAAAAAGAAAGAAAATCATAACGAATACATTTTTTTCAAATATTTAGGTAGAATCAAACACAACGGCGGCTTAAAATAAGGGGCGAATGCAAAGACTTGACATCAAAACTAAAGCAGTTTCGTTGAAAAATTAATGCCTTTTAGGTAATTTTGGGGGTGGTAATTGTCCTCCTCCCGGTAAAACATCTCAGATTTAAATTAAATTTCATTTAACCACTAGCTTTTAGTTCAGTTAGTCAGAACTATCTATTACTTAAGTCAAAAATATTTAATATAGATTAAAAAACGTTTATTAAATAGAGCACTTATTGCAGATCGTGAAAGCTAAAAATCTTTGCTCTGTTCTCAAATTCCTCAGTTTTAAATGTAACTTCGCTCAAATTTTTGCCATAAAATGCGAACCATAAAAAGAACCAGCTATTTGAAGGCATACATCAAATGATTTTTGTTAAAATTGGGTGCGCAATAGACTTACCTCCATGTGGGGCACCCTGGGCAATGTATACTCATACAGCGAAAAAGTCTATTAACTGTCAGTTTACTTCTGACTTCAAACTACCATCACCCCACTGTGTCATATTCGACTATTTTCACAGTACTCAACACACCTTTTTTTCTACCTTTGTGCCTATCTCTTTTACAACTCTGAAACACTCTTCTGTCCCCCCCCCCCACTTACTCTCGACTTTTTTCTCACTTTGGTGTTCCTTCCCCTCTGTGAGGCCTGAAGTCAACTAAAGGACTAATGTTAGCTATCAAAACGCCTGCCATTTGGGATAAAAAATAAATTAATAATTATGTTAATTAATTAATGATATTATTTAAGTTTATAACGAGTAGCTCGATGAGAGTGAATTAATTAGAAAAAGGTGCTATTTGATTTATATGATGTCGTCAACCAATTATGAAGACCGTACTTTTTTATCTTTTTTTTAAACAAAATTTAAAAAAAACATCTAGGAGTGGAAACGCTTGGTATGCTTGTGGGGGAGCACAGCGCTAACGTGGCTGAAACAAAGAACCCCACGCGCTTTAGAACATTCTGGAAAGAGCAGCGCGATACTTATCCCCTCGTCAACACGTGCGGTTAATTGCAGTAGGGAGCAAACGAGGTCACGAGTGCAGTGACTTCTCAGTCAGTCGACAATCAATAATCACGGCATGGTCAATGCAGCCGAAAGTGTATTTCATGACTAAGCTCAGTGTCAATTAGACACGGACAAATATACGTGTGCCATGTCTGTTTCCTCTATGTCATTGAGAAAGCCCTAGCAAATCTTGAAAGCCTCCCCCCCCCCAATAGGGGATTTTATCATAGATATTACCAAGGATAAGTCAAAGTGCGGCAATCCGCTAAAGGGTCACATCTACTAAGATTGATTACTAAACGCCTTTAATACCATTCATATGATAGCTAGTTGTAAATAAAACTTTAAACATAAGAGAAGCAGGTAACATTTAATTGAAGAAATCCTGGATAAACAAAAACTGACAACATCCCTAAAATGCTCATTACTAAATATATCAGTGATTGAGTAAAGTTTTGACTGTTTTTTAGTTGCATAAATTAAGCCTTTTCTAACTTGACAGATGAGGCTTACTAATGAAATTGTGAACAGAAACGTGATGTTATTAAATTAGATGCCTATTTTCGCCCACCCCTCCCCCGGGTATCTATTTAGAGTTTCAGTCTTTTTTTACCCATTTTCAGTTGTTGAGCTCAAATACTTATCTGTTTCACTTTATGCTTTCATCCACCCAAGCTCATTTATCTGTCTCACATATACACACAAACACACTATATAGCATTGTGCCCAAAGAAAAAGAGGTAGTAGTAAACACGTTGTAACATTCGCACCTTTCCGCCAGAATGTCGGAATTTGTACCAGAAATCTGCTGTGAGGGGTTCCGGTTCAGTAGGTGGAGGTTTCGGCATCAAATATCGTGGATAGACCAGGGTTTGAAGCTTATTTCGTATTTGATTTAGTGAACGAGTATATGCGAGCCCTTAAAAGAAAATTAGAATGATTAGGCAATTAATGAACAACTGCTACTATTTCTTCCCCGATCCTAAGTAAGAGCCCCGGTATAAAAATAGATATTTAATTCCAATAATCATTTAGTACTACCTATCATTTAAGTAACATATGATTACATAAAGCACAATATTCAAGAAACGCACATCCGTTGAACACACGAGTGAGTATCTGCTGTTGCATTGTATGGTAGGTATTGGAGAATGCATCAATTGCATTGACAGGGATTTGTGGAAGAATTTCAGAAGGGGTGCTGGATTTGCTAGTGTTATTCAAGTTATCCGTGGAAGGAGCCTTCTCACGTGGACCGCTACGTCGGGTTGATGAAAAGAAGCGGAAGCCAGTTTCCTGTTTCTTAAATATAAAAAAATTAAACTCAATACCACTAAATGCATTTATTATTTAAGTCCATTCCATAGCCAGAAATTAGTATGTTCCAATTAGAGGGAGCGGGCGAAATTGTGCTTAATTTTGAGGCCTCATTAGCTTCTCGCTTGAATTGCCAACCACAAAATACAAGGTGAGAAAGAGGGAGAGAGAGAGAGAGGAATTGAAGTCTTGGAATAAGGTTCGCGGAAATAATGTAAATTAACAGATCCCTAAGTTATTTCAGCATCCTGATGTTGAGAAGCGAACAAAACTATGTTTTCAACTGTAATTATCACATAAAAGTGATAGAATTAGAGGCTTTTTCATTTGTTAAGTTGAATGCACATTTGCTTAAGTTTTTGACGCACTTTTAGCAGAAATTACTGCCTGTTACATTTCCATCGTTGTGATAAAGTGCAGTTCACAGGCAATCTAATCTATAGGCATAACGATGTAGTGAAAAAAAACAGTGGTGTTCGGGGTAGTATGTTAAAATATTCTCACTTGCAAGATTCTCCGATTATGTTACCCTGGGGATATTAAACAATGCAATCAAGTTCACAATAAGGTACACTGTTCTAACTCTACACTATGCAGATCATATTATAACTCCACTGTCATGATCTACGGAAATCGGACATGTTAATTTCACAAATCTGGCAAAAATGGTTCACAGATGAAAGCAGCAGGGTCAAACGATGTTCATATTTCAAGGATTCAAATATGACCCATTTATTTTGCTTATCACAAGAGTAACGAAACCATTATTATTGTTAGAATAATCGATGAAATTTTCCAAAAAAGGATGCAATAAGTAGTACTTTAAAACTAATACTAAGCATAAGTAGTGATTGAACAAATTTACCAAAACACGAGCATCTAAAATTATCAAAATCGTTGGTAAAAAGATAGGGAAAGAAGTTCACGGATTTTCGCGACTCCTAGCAATAAAATTTTATTAGTCAAGAAGATACAATACGCTTGCCTTAAAAATATTTGAGACGCCTATTTAGTATTCATTGAGAAACCTCAACGTCATGCTCCTTGATCAAGCAGTTCAAAGGAACTCAACGCTAGGATCACTTATAGAGCCCACTTTAAATGTTAAGTGCTTTTTTAAAATCAAGCCATACCTTCATTTTCTCTTTCGCAATAAGGGAAGCCGATTTTAAAAGAAAGTTTCAAAAAAGTATCGTTTACAGGCTATCTAACTGTCATAACTCCCTTCACCCCCCCCCTTCTCCTCCTCCTCCTCCTCATCCTCCTCCTCTTCCTCTCACCACCCCGCCTACAAACTAATAAATATCATCTTGCCCTACTCACTTTCAAGTTGATGCTTACCAAAGTAAGAGTTATAAATACTGCGAGAAGGGCAAGACGATAAATACGAACTCATAGGGCAATGAAAGTTGCATGCAATGCGGTAAAGGCATTAAATATCACTTCAAAAGACAGCCGATTAAGGCACTGTCAAGGAGGCTTAACGACCTAGTTCATTCAAGTGTGGTTGCACAATAAACCGCCTGCCAAAATGAGTGAGTAAATCCATCACCGACAGTAGCCCCCTAGTCTTACGCATATTGTTGTCTCGTGACGTCACTTTCAAGCCACTTCAGGTATATTAGTTAAAAAATTGGAATTGCTGAAAACAATTTAAGCATTTTTTTCCAATCAATTCGAAGTTAATAAGTGTGCAAAAAAAGTGATAAAACATATGTAAAAATTGCAAATTTTTGCGTAAGAAAGCTTTAAGATGGTGAAGAGTAGCAGCTTTAATTAATTGTTTACATGTGGATAATTAAATGAAAAATTGTGCAGATCTAGATGTTTCGCATTTTATAAAAAAAGGGACACTAAACGGCACTAATCAAAATATCATCAAAAATTCTTAATCAATTCTCAGTCCAATAGAAACGGAGGAAGGAAACGTACCACTAATTCTTGTACCCAACATTATCAGAACCCAAAACATGAACGCTATACCAGAATTTCTTTTAAACTTTAAACTGAGTAATAAGCCAATTACTATGCACCGCGTCCAATATTTTAATAATGAAACTTTCATTGTATTCCTGAAAATAAAATGGCTAATTTTATTGGGGGTCTCACGTTTGGGAATAACTCTCGTGTTCAACCCCCAAGAGTCAAATAAAAGTAAGTTTCCTGGAAGGGAAAGAGCGACCTACTACAAGTGGCAGAGTTTCTGCTATGTCAATACGGAAGCAGAATTGAGTGTGTTTTTTAGACGTCGGTGAGGGTAGCAGCCCACTGTCTTCCGTCGGAGACACAGGGGTGGAATCACTTTTGGCTGGTCCCGCTGCAAAAAATTAAAGAAAGGGTTAACTAACAGGCGTTGAAGCACAATTGCATTATTGCCTGATTTAAAGAAGATAAACACCTTAATTTGATTCAAGAGAAACAAAGATAAGGATAATGTTAGGTCATGAGATTAAATGCCAGACAGAGCATCGATCCCATTTCACAGCTCAATGTACTTAAAGTTGGATTTGTCCTACAGTTGTTTGGAAACAAAAAAAAACTAAGCACTTAATGTCTTGATAGTAAGTCTAATGAAACAAAAAGATAGGAACACTGACATTTCAGAACCTTTTTCCCCAGTTTCTTTTCCAATTATTGCCATTAGATGCTTTTTAATTTTTTCATGACAAAAATCACACTTTAGTTCGAATTACACAGCTCATTGAAACTAATTCAATTAATATATTTCAATTTGGTAGAATTTACTCATTTTCTGTATTTTCGATGCTAGATAAGTATTGGCTCACAAATTAAGCAGACAATGGAATAAAAAATCTAAAGTACAAATGAAGGAAAATTTTACCAGTGAAATATCGATTGATGAATAATAACAATTATTGAAGAGAGCCCTTAATTGCATAGTGATCCTATTCCATTTATTTAGAATTTTAGTTAGAGAAAATAGGTAACTATGATTTTCAAGAATAAAAATTACAAGTTAAAGAGCACTTTCTTCAACATAATTTCGTTTAAAAGTTATGCACTCTATCGTTCAATTTGCTTAATTAATAAGTACGATTTTTAAACAAATTGTTAGATTAAATTGAGTACGGTTATTAACAAGGATATACAAAAACTACTTATTATTTTTTCACGTTTGGATATTTTCATTAAAATTTAGAAGTCAGCCATTCTTTAAATTGAAATAGTGACATTGCAATGTTGTGACTATTCCCTAAGAACCTTTTATGGTAATTTGGTCGCATTTGAATTAAATTGCCTATTAGTATCCAATTCATTTGGCCATAAACCAAATATACTGAGATCGTTTTTAACTATGTGCTTCATTATCCAGTGAACTCATACATGCTTGAAAGTCATTTTGGCAGTCCTACTTTCTTAAACTCCTAAAAACACCGATAAACTTTGTGACGCATTCATCCCTCTCAATCTAAGGAGAAATGAAAACGAATTCGAACAGTTTGAGCATACACTAAAAATAAAACACCCCTTAGCTTGAAAATCGGGTAGGAAGTAGGACACATAAGGATGCTTTCAAGTAATTTTATCACTTGTTGTAAGTGACTAGTTGACTGATAATGAAGAGATAATTAAAATGACTGAATAGCTATTTTAGATTTGATCAAAATTAAGAACAAGTTGAATTAAAGTTTTCCGGAAAATATCACACAAAGGTAAAATGATTGAAAGCATTCATGTGATAACCAATAGGTCAAAACCAAATGGAGCAAATATTATTTTTATTTCAAATTAATCATAAAAACTAATTTATTAAAATTGTTACATTTAATTTACAGAGCTGATTTCAGAGGAAAACATATTTCGATAATTTGGATTTATTTATTCGCAATAAATGATGATGAAGATGATCACTTTAGAAGTACAGCATTTATGAAGGTGAGAATGTGGTCACGCACCGTTAAACAACTAAGTGTGAAATAGATAAACACTTATACTTTAAATTTAAGAATTTTCTCATTTTTTTCTGCCCCTAGGCACCATTTCTAAGCTAAGTTTACCCCGCTAGTACCCTTCATCGAGGGCATGAGGCAAACAGGAAAATCAGAAAAAAACGATATATACACGACCGTTCAACTGGCAAAAGTACGGTTTTCTTGAGTATGCAAGTTTAAAACACATTTACATTATCGGATTTTTCAAAAATGTCGGTGAGATAGAACTAATAGTTTACAAAAAACGGATAAACTCACATTTTTATCAGCAAATTTTCTTTGTCTGAGAAAACAAACCGTTTTTCTTACTCACATTATTTCATTGCCTTATTAAAGTAAGTGGAACTGAATAAAAAGGCAAGATTTTAAAGTTTTGCGAAAGGGAGAAAACTATCCAACATTTGTTTTGGATAAAAGGCATTTAGAGTGACTCATGGGGAAACTACCAACTCTAGTGATCAATGCCAATGTGCTTTAGCATTCGAATTAACTGCCGTAGGTCAGAAGTTCTCGAATTCTTTGCAAAGAAGCATTTTGACTACGCATCACCAAAGACTCTAATCAGGAGGATGAAAGCTTCTTAATGACTTACGCTTAGGGCTGATTTCATGAATGATTTATCATTTTAAGCATGAAATTCACTTTGGCACGACTTCGTGGGGATGAAAGGGACACATATTACTTTTAATTTTCTCTTTCATATTCAAAGCCACATTTGATTGTGATAATGGTTTGCTGTTTATTTGCCTTACTCCACTACCACGCACCTGAGCAAATCAGACACTCGTAAACAATAGATAAGTCATCCGACCGATTTAATTGGGGGGGGGGGAATGCGTAAACTCACTAATCTCATTCCAGTTGACTTCATCTGTTGGGGGATTGAGAGAACCCTTGGGAGCCAGGTGGGTTTCTAGACATTGCATAAAGGAGATCACCTGAGAAAATGTCGGAAAATCCAAAGGGGGATATTGGACTCCGTCGGAGCGTACTAGTATCACTGTGCCTCCGTAGTCATCAAAATCTGAGGAAGAACGCACAAGACAAGTCAGCGCCAGTAATAAAATTACTCAATGGAATTTAGAGAATAAAATAAAAATTTATTATTTCAATTATAATTGTTATTGCTACAAATACTATGGCACAAGACTAATTTCAAATTTAAATAAAATCTATTTTAAAAATAACATCACCTTTTTCAGAGCAGATAAACAAACAGACATGTCGAACACTGAATCACCGTCGAAGCTATGCCCAATTTTAAGTAAGTCTAACAAACATAGGAACTTCAAAAAAAGATTATATTCTATATAAAGAACTCAAAGCACTTATTTAAAACAAATTAGACATTGGTCGAATTTATTCAACAAACGATAAATAAAATAAAAAATACTAACAGATTTCTTGTTGCTAATGGCTGACGAACAGTCAAAAAATCATTTGATTTTTTGTAAATTTTTCATCCTATTATGCAAAGTGAATCAATGAACATAAATAGGAATTTTCGAGGTCAATAGTTTTTTAGAAATAATGAAATCCGATATAGTTTGTTTCGAAATCACTCAAATTTTGCCAATCTTGATGTATTTTTGTAAGTGTTGTCCTTCTTCAGAAATTTTGTTCATAAATTCATGCCCACATAGAAGTGTTGATAGCTGTTTGTCTCCATAGTAGTTAGGAATAGTAAATGAATCAGCTTGGTTATCAAATACTTTTAAGATAGGACAACGGTAGATATATTTCGATAAGAGAAATCTGGTATTTAGCGTTAATCGGTTTGATAAAGTAATTAATAGAGAGACACAGTCTCAAGAAATTGACGAATAACGGCGTGTTCAAGTGCTCATTTCCCGGATATTTTAACATTTACGAGGGAAAAATTAATTTAATAATTGTGCGTCAGAATATCCTGTTGGATTATGACGTTAAGCATAACACCAATCTGCCTTCTAAAGACTTCTGAGTTGATGCACTTTGTAGATGGACAAACACAATAAATACCTTGAAAGCTACCGATTAATTAACAAGAAAAAATTCAATTCTTATGGATCCAATTATTTGTTGAACGTAAAGTATGCTAACTTGTAGACGAAACAAGTCATTTGAATGCTGACCCAATTGAACCAGTCATGAAAAATCCAAATTAAAATGGATTTTAACAGTAAGGTAACTACTATTTTAAATAAACAACCTACCAACAGAAAACGAAAGTTATCATTATTGAAGATAATGAATGGTGTAACTCAATTGAGTTTCACTAAAAGAGCGCTTATTTAATTACTGACGAAACAAAACGGAAATTGTAAAGACAAATAACCTTACTTCTCAGAAAGACAACAATCTCTCTAAATATAACAAAAACCATATCTCATCGCATTACCACTGACAACGACAGTTTAACTAGGGTAAGAGAGGTCGTTACTGTGGTAGATTAGGGTGCAATACTCTGAAGGTGCCACACAACACATCAGATAAAACGATGTATAGAACCACTAGATTTGACATAGTAATTCCAAACTGGATTAAAGGATAAACCTTCAAATACTTTAAGGAAATGATCAACAACCCTTTAAAATGAATTCAGAAGATGGTATTCTAGGAAAACCTTATTTTACCTCCCCTTTATCTATCAGAATAAACTTAGCACCTGGCTTCCCAAATATGTGACCTCGTGCCATCTGAAATGGTGGACATGCAAGTTGACCACTGCTTCATCGCTGTACAAGGGAGGAATAGCATCTTTCAACTCTCCAGTTGGGCAGAAATGTTGTATCTGATAGCATATTTTCTTCCAAAGGTTTGTTAATCACTACTAGGTATTGTTATACAGTTAGCATAATAGACGGTAGACGTGGGCGTTATAAAACTATTTCATTATTTTTAGAGGTAATATAATTGACAAATAGTTTATTAAGTGGCTACATCCCTATTATAAGCAAAACAAGAACGGGAGTAGATTTATTACTTCGAATTAAGTTGAAGGAAAGAGAAAAAACAATCGGAGTCAATTCTGGGTCATTAAACGTGCCAAATGGACCATTTGAGCATATTTTCGCACAATATTAATGAAAATTTTTAAGTGCCCTCTACTTTAAAAGACTCTCAGAAAACAGACTACTTTCAATCTTAAACTCCAATTGCTAGAGGATGAATTTCTAAAATTCAAGGAGATTAGTAATGCACTTTACTATAAGATTACTTACCATACTAAACAATCTTCTTAAATGTATAACCACTGCAATAAAGTACCTTTAATTTCACATAGCAAAACTATTTGAAGGAAGTCTATCTTGCAGTCAAAGAAGTCCCCTTAAAGTCTAAATGACGCCTCTCCAAGTGCATTTCCCACATAATCACTCGATGTGAAATAATTAATAAAGTGCAAGTAAATGAGGCCCTTCATTTGCTAACTCCCTCACAGTAATCACCAAAGCAAGCACCTTCAACTTTTCTTGTATACGCAGGAAAAAGCAAAGGCAACTTTCACAGAACATGGCTGAATAAATTTCAATCGCTAATGGTACAAAATGCCAAGAGAAAAGTAAAAATTAATGAGAAAAATTCATTTATATTTATGAAAACTCCGTGGTGCGTTATTGTACTCATTTGGATGCATCTAGTGTTATCAATACAATCACATTTACAGCATCTTCTTAAATTTAAATCGAGAATTAATAAATTAGCCTTATAAAATATGGCGATGGACGTCAAATATCCGAAGATAATTTAATAAAATAATTAAAATATATATATATATAAATTCGTTTGGTTTTAATACAAACAATCTTCAATTTCTATTTTTTTGCGGGACAGAATGAAAACGACTGCAGAAAAATCAGTAGCAAACAAGTGCGCTTATTTGACACCTACTGATGATTTATGTCTACCTATGTGCGGGAGGAATTTAAAAAATCTAAACCTTTTCTCAATAAAACTATTAAGAAAACTGCAAGAGATCTGTTATTAGAAAACGACATTTTTAGAAAAGAAAACTATCAAAATTGCTTACTGAATAATTCATAACTTATATTTATAAAAATGTAATAACAACTTATATTAAACAGCGAAAAATAAGACTTTAAATATAAGATTTATACACATTTGAATAGTGGAATAGTTAATTAAATACCCAAAGACCATAAAAGTGAGGAAAATGCGATACTTACAGTGTCGGTGACAGTGTATATACACGACCTTTTTAATGTCAATATCCAACGCAAAGTCCCAGTAACTACTAAAATGCAAGAAATGTTGATTAACGTTTAAATTTTCTATCAACTTTAAATGGAGCACAGTAAAAGCACTTATTGCGTTAAGGCTATGTGGCTCATGAAATAACTTGGCTCATGCAATAATGGTCCATCAATAGTATAAAACGAAAAAAAAACGTTCCATAATAAAGGAATGTCAAAACAGAGGTGTTCAGACAAACGTAGTTTCAAGGCGAGCATTCATTATTAACTAACCGTTGAGAAAGGTACGGCTTGGAGTATGAGATGGTTAAAGTTTTAGTTTTAGAATTTTAATCAGCTTCTCACTAATTCCAGAAGTATGTTATTACTTTCAAACTCCGCTTAATTGTCTATTGTTTCGAATCTCCCGTCTTATATATTCTTAATTAGATTAATGGCAATCCACGTTGACGCTCAATAAAATCAATACAGTTTAGACGTACTTTAAGCATAATGCATAAGAAGTTTCGTGTGTAAACTTTATAATCCCTAAAAATAGGTGCAATATTTGTTGTTCTATATATGATGCTATGTGCGGGGTGTGCGATAGACTTACCTCCACGTGGTGCACCTTGGGCAACGTATACTCATGCGGCAAAAAGTCTATTAACCGGGAGTTGACTTCTCACTTCAAACAACCATCACCCCCCCCCCTGTATGTCATATTCGACCCCTACCACAGTACTCATCTTACCCTTTCTGAGCCTTTGTGTCTGTTTCTTTTACATCTTTGAAACACCCTTCTATTCCCCCTCCTGAATTCTTCTCACTTTGATGTTCCTCCTCCCCTCTGTGAAGCCCGAAGTCAACTAAAGGGCTAATGGTAACTATCAAAACGCCTGCCATTTGTTAAAAAATGATGCTATGTGCAAACCGGGTTTTAATAAAAGCAGTTTTTTGTTCATTCAAAGCACACCACTATTAGGATCCCTAGAGAATAGTTGAATATAAAATAAGCCTGTCAATATTATGCGCAAACATTATTGACAAATTAAATTATGTCGAAGAGATTGATTGCTCAAAAAATGGGAATCTCCAAATTGATGCGCTAAGAGCCATATAATTGTCATTCAGTCGTTTTCCCATTAATAATTTATTAAGAGTACAACTTACGATTCATTAAACAGGATGTTAGATACATCTTCGGTACTTTTGATGAGATCTTGACCATTTAGACGAGGTTGCTTCTGTACTCGCTTCTTCTGCCATTGTTCTTCATGCTCTTGAGGCACAGACATTGCTCTATTTGGCGCCCACTTCAATTTGATACCAGAGTCATCATCGGTTCCTGTTTTATGCATCGACAAGTAACCAGAAATTCGGGTGGTACTCAAACTCTAAAGGAAGATCATGAAATATATTACGGAAGAATGGTTCAATCCCTTTTCTACTTTGTACTTTCAAACATTTCCATTGCCATAACTGCCCTAACTGGACTAACCCAATTTGGGTGAGCAATTTGATTAGAAGAAAATAAACATAATTGGAACGATTTAGTGCCTAGAGTGAAACAAACGTAAATGTTAGCTCTTTGCTCATAACATCTTTTAGGTAAAAGAAACAGAAAAGCTTTTAAGCCAATCGACACTAACTAGAGCCGGCTAATAAGGCCATAATTTTATTGAATGCGAATAATTAAGTTTTGCCTTCTTACCTGCATATTTTAGCGTCAATTACAATGTATTTGTGGGGTGTGCGATAGACTTACCTCCACGTGGTGCACCCTGGGCAACGTATACTCATACGGCAAAAAGTCTATCAACTAGCATTTGACATCTCACTTCAAACTACCTTCACCCCACTGCATGTCATATTCGACTATTTCCATAGTACTCACATCACCTTTTTTCTACCTTGGTGTCTGTCTCTTTTACATTGTTGAAGTACTTCTGTTCCTCCTCTCTCAATCTCGACTTTCTTTCAATTTGATGTTCCTTCCTCTCTGTGAAGCCTGAAGTCAACTAAAGGACTAATGATAGCCATCAAAATGTCTGACATTTGATACAAACAAATACAATGTATTTGCAACCAATGAAGATTGAGTGGTACACATATATGGGTTCGTGAGAAGTATTTGCAAAAGCCTCTTGGACAAATTGAGATGTCATTTCGGAAATTTTGTCACGTTTTCACGTTAGCTGAAAAAACGCGCATTAAATCAAATGACACGAACAGAAAATTTCGCCCAAAACAACATTTTCCAACCCTAAATGGTCTAAACAACAAGGAGTAAATATTTTCAACTAACAAAATTTGTGCAATTTCCACTGATTTTTAATCTTAATGCTTGCAAGTATGCATATGTCTATTCCATTAAGATTGTTATCATTATAACTCCCATTAAATAGGGAGGCTATAAATTTGGCAAAATATCCCGCTATGAAAACATTGAAGTTATTATGGAAATAGCAAGATAAGATTTAGTTAGTTTAATCCCAAGATGGCATTCCATTTGAGTGACATTTGAATTTTCTTCTCAAGACGAATGAATAAGAGATTCTCCCATTGAAATATCAAGATAAATGGGATTTAAGGAAATATGAAGAATTAATTTATCACTGAAATGAAACACCAACGACCTCCAAATTTGAAACCACCTATGTCAGAAGAATAGAGAAACAGCTTTGGATTCAATATGGTTATTTCATTAGGTTAATATAATTTGAAATAAATTTAAATCATTCCCCCATTTCTATAATTCAAGTAGGTAAATTGGGCATAAAAGTTGGTCGAGATGGGGAGATTAAGAGCAAAATCAAATTTAACAGATTTATGGAAAAAAAGAAGGCATTTATCAAATTTACGAATGCGTTTTTTTATGCTTACGGGCTGAACAATGACATTGTTTTTGCCATAGAGTAATGGCGCGCGCTCATTTTGATGCAGGGACTCCACATAGTCCTTAGCTTGGGTTAGTTTTTGAACAGTCGGGCAAGGGGAAAATATGGAATGCTGGTGCTGAAAGCGAAAAGCATGCGAGTCGTCGTCGGTGGGGTCATTATCGAAGGTGAATCTGCCTTCTTGACGCCTTTCCGTTCCTTGGGTCTCGCATGTTGAACTTCTCTGGAGGAAAATATGGGCCATGATAAATTGAAGTAAATGACCACAAGGAATATTAAAAGTACCAGTGGTCGTGTGGGCTGTTCTTTAAGTGCAGTGTGCTCAACACAACAAACATCCTTTTGTCTTCATTTTATCCCCAGAGTCCCATTTTCTTAGCAATCAAATCGTAATTAGGGGATTCAGAAAATTGGCTGATAATTAGTTTTTGCGTTTGATTGTTTTTCAAAAGTCTCCCCCATGCACACATAAGGACATTCTACGCAACGCCATGTCAACTTGAAGCTCTAATCTTTCAAAAAATGGTGTGTTTACTGATTTACTTTAGTAATGAACGCAAAACCTATTACGATCAGATAACTAATGATAAAGGGGAAATGCCCATAGAAAACTCACTCAGATATCGGTATCAATAATTACGAATTCTTCGCTAAACCCAAGTTGACATTTAAAATGGTAGGACACAAAGCAAACATTTAGTACCAGCGCAATTTGAATAGATGCTAAAATTCTAGGTTCTTATACTTACTTCACGTCTATTATTGTTGTTATCTGAATGTTAATGAGTTAATTATATTCGGGGTCCTGATGATAGTTAAGTTTAATTTAATACCTTTTGTATCACCAAAAACATGGCCTGTGGAGTTAGAACCATGACCGACTTTGAAAAAAAGCGATTTATCATCATCGTAGCTTTCCCAAACTCACCATTGGCCTCAATGTTCACTCTTAAAATCGATTAGCCATCCAATTTCATATTTGTATCGATCAGTCTATCAAGTCTTAACTTCATTTTTGGTCCTTAATAAAGTTTAGCCCCAGTTTGCATTGAATATAACCTTCAGGTGATTAACTCGGTTAATTATGACTGAAACAGTGGTATTGTAGTATCTGCGTACTTAGACTTAAGTTTATTCTGTCTCCTTAAGTATTAGCCACCTACTGATTGATTCCGCCATCGTAACTATTAGTAGCATTTCTACAAATAAAGGACACAAAATGGTTAATTATTTGGTCCGGTCTCCACAACCCGAGTTAACCCAATGTGTTTTCTATTTTATTTCCCTTCCTCCTCAATCTCATTCCCCCCACTCCCACTCATCAACATCCACTTTTTTATGGACCTATGGTTCAATAGTCTTAACCCTCTCGTTACTGTATTCAGGTAGCCTTAGGACAATTATAAGTTGGGTGAAGTGATATCTGATGGAATTAAGTCTTACTCTTAAAGTAGCTTTATAAACGAGGTCAATTTTGGCGTGTACGTATTAAATGAACTTTCCGCGTTGCTGATAAACGTCTGCTTCAAATAGAATAAAATGTTGCTACTTTAAAAACAAGCTGACACGTGACCGTGTAGAAGATAAATGTTCACTAAATGACGAAGAAGTGATTATTCATAAGGAACTCTAATGGCATAAAATAAACTCTAAAGGGTGTGTAATGGTGTATCACGTTATGTTTTCATCGGGAAAAGCTCTCAATATCTTAGCAGACACGTTTAAAGAATTAATTGTGAGTGAAAGCGTTGTCTAGCAAATCAATTTAAAAAAATAGAAAGCAAATGCTAATCGATTGAAAGAGTCCGATTTTTTGAAGTCGTTCTATATTACAAAAGCGAAGCCAATTTAATGGTATTTTCATTTACATTGCAATCAGTACAAACTTCAACGCAGATATTAAGCTTCAACATTTTAAAATGTGGAATTCAAAACAAGCCAAAAATAACTTAATTGTCAAATAGCACATTCACTATTCAATGCCTGTTGAAAGTACTGTTCAATTCCCCACCCCACACCTTGAAATACTTTTCCTTCGATTTGAGGACTTTCTTAAAAGAAATTATGAAAAGGCATTTAAACTCTGAGTCGTTCACCAAGAAGACATTATAATATAAAAACTGGCATAGAAACCCAAAGAAGAGAGCGGTAAAATTGAGATATATTTACTTTATTCCTTACTCATGTACCTTTCCATGGTTAAAAGATTTATCGTTTTTCCTAAGCCACGGGCTACAGCAAAGACAAAAGAACTGACAAATGAGGTAAATAATATGGCCAAATTCCTCTCTGAGAAGTAATTGAATATTCAGACCGAAAGAATACTAAATGCCTTAAGCATTTTAAATAGCGTGGGTATCTGTTGATCATATTCCAGGACATTGGCACCACACACTTATTGCTACTAGTCAAATGAGAGAGGGAGAGAGTTCAATGCAAGTATCACCAACACAGAAGCCCAAGGAGATCCATAATCTACCCATGCCTTCTACAATTCGAATCAGATGAGCACTCAATAGTTGGCTCTCAGTATATTTTACGCAAAGCTTCTTTATACGATGAGAAAGAGCAATTGAATATCAAGCATACATTAAGGGGAAGAAGTTATGATTGAGGCTATGGCCCATTCCTCCTCTCCCCTTCCACTTCTCCCCCCCCCCCCCCAATTTAACACAAAAATCCATTAGGGGTGCAAATTAATTGTAGCAAATTTTGCGATTCCAGACAGGTGAGAAGTACTTTTAATAAGACGAGAACAATTAGAAGCAAAGTGTACTGTAATATGAACTTTTTCACATGAAGCTCATTTATTATTATTAAGAAATTTACAGGCTTAGAAAACTTGAGAGACACAGAAGTGGCAGAGTAGAGAAGGATCAATGCAACTTGAAATTAACAAAAAATTATTTAATGGTTTAAATGGAAAGGAAGAGGAAGTTTTAAGGGAATTTTAAAACAAAAATTAAGTCCTAGTTATTGCTAGAGATAATTGCCCTACATTCACTTCCCGTTTCAAATAACGCAAGTGGAAATGTACGTTTATCCTTTGATATAAGTCCTCTTCTGAGGGGTTTAAAATGCTAATTAAAAGGGACACTTTCGTATTTGAAATGAAGTTGATAGGATGAATTACTGTAAGGAGTGATCACTAGAACTCAAACAGATGTCAATACACCGAGTGTAATGCATAAACTTCACTAATCTAATACTCTGTCAGGAACAAGCAAGTATCCGAGGTCGGTGATGCCTATGCGCAATCATCTTAGCCCGTTAAATTCCCAATCCCATTTTACTCCTATAGACAAAAGACCTAAAACTCCTTCAAAGTAGAGACAAAAAGGGCTGCATATTGGGAACACTCTTTAGTAAGTTTAATTCATATACAAATGAGAGTTGATAGAACATCTCTATTCCCCTGATTTAAGACGGGAAATAACCCTATTTCTGAATCGGGAGACGACGAAAAATCGGAGCGATATATCATCTGAATATCGATCGATTCTGGCAGTTCACCCCCAAGGTACTTCAAAATTTTCGTTAGTTTTACACCCTTTTTACAATGTAATAATCTCGAATTATTTGCATGAAGTTAATTGGCGCAAGATTTCTCTACTATAATTATTCATCACGAATCCCGTCACCCATATCACAATAGGTACGACAAGAATTAAAATAAACATTGCAACTAGATGCTATTTGACCATGAAACCCAAAGGTCTATAACCACCGATGCATATGCACTGAATAAATCGGACCAATAAAGAATGGGGGGGGGGAGAGTTGGAAGTTCTTACTGGGAGAAATTTAAGTAATATCATCATTCAGCAAACAATAAATCATATTCGCAATTAAGTTAGACGGAATTTTTTTATGAAAGCAAGTAATGAGATGAAATGAAATCAAAGGCATAGTAGATGAGTTCGCTAGATGAGAGGTAACAATTAGTGTCTAGTTAATCCCCTTTGAAGTAGAAGATATGTTTTTGACATCGGGTTGAAGCATTAATTCGGAAATAGTATAATCATGTCTACAAGTTAGCTTTGATCTAAGGTTTCATTACTAGAGTGCAAAAAAAAAATATTGAGACCGAGAGACCACCTCGAAGGAAAAGGAGTGTATAGTGTTTCAATATCTAGCAGCTAGCAATCTCAGCTAAATTCAACGAATCCTTGTCAGCCTCGTGTACTTGCTCGTGGCTGCAGAAAGATTCAAATAAAATGGGAGCGTAATTAACCATGGAGTTAAAGCAGCAGGCAATAAGATCAAAATATATCTAATACATGATCATAAATGTAAACATCTGGACAATACGAAGCCAAGTGGACAACGTAATACTTCAAAAATTCAAATAACGTAAGACCTGGTTAAATGAATCAATTTTCTTCTTCTTGTTGACCATCCTTACCGTTTCCGTATATGTTAGACTTGTTTCGACGTTTTTCTATGCTTACTAATGACACTAGTATGATTTATAAAATTTGGTCATTTTTATCCGCATGGTCATAACTAGTTTGTGAGGATTCTGGATAAATGTAGGCATTTTCAAATAGCCGACGTATCCAATCAACTGTTAATCTTATCTAGAACCCAGATACATTAAGAGATAGTAACGATTCCAGCTAGTGCTTCTAACAATTCTTCACCCTGCGCGCCTAAAATGTTACCCATTTCAAACAATTTATAAAAATCCATTGGGAAAATTTATTACAGCAGATAATACATAGAAAAGTACTGATTCAACGATTGCAATGATAGGAAATCACACATTTAAAATTCATTTCTTCAAAAACTTTTTCACAACCACGAAAAACCACTCTCTTGAAAAAGTTAGACGTTTGATATGGCGCAACTCACAAGCTTTTGCAATTATTGATAGAAATTAGTTATTTATTTATTTCAAATGGCAGGCTTTATGATATTTATCATTAGCCCTTAAACTTTGACTTCAGCTTTCCACAAGGGTAATGATATTTATCATTAGCCCTTAAACTTTGACTTCAGCTTTCCACAAGGGTGGGGTACATATATAGAAGTTAATTAATAGCATTTAGAAATTATAAATGATTAAAAGAAATGAATAACTTCAAATTAATTATATAAACATTTCTTTAGGAATAGATGAAATTAAACCACGATTTTTATAATGAATATAAGTTTCTGCAGCTGCGAATTTTCTCTTAATGTAATGGAGATAAATTTTCAAAGAACAACATATTGGGGACTTATTTGAAGGATATGAAAAGGCGATTTATAGTAGACTTGGCCTTTTACATTGAGGAGAAATGGAGAAACAGAGTTAGTCTTAGCGTTGATATGAGCGCAAAAAAATGTCCTTCAAAATGAGCTGTTTGTGATAATAATTTCCAGTTGCTTAACTTCTCAATGAACCCAAATAGTTAAATTGGCTTTAAGGTGAACAAAAATAGAAAGAAAACATGACATTTTATCAGGTTAAGTTGATTGTAGCGTGCTGAACGCTAATCAAGGCTGATCAAAGCGATCTCAAGCGCGCTAGAACAAGCTGGAAGATGCGGCGTGCTACTGGTCGCATAGCGATCAAGTGCAGTCGTGAGCGCAGAGACTACTTAACCAATCAGCAATCACTAGTCATTGCAACAGAGCAGAGCAATAATTGAACTTTATGCCTGAGCCTTGTGACAGTTCACCAAGATGGCAATAAACACTATTTACGCCAGTCGTCCTGTCTCCTCAATACTTTCAAAGTAACTTGGCTAATTTCGGGGGCGTTATTTTATACTGGGGGATTTTGGCAGGGTGGATTGACAAGGGTCAGTTTGGGTTTATTTATGTGATATTCCTTGAGTGTCCCAATGGTTTTATTCGGATAAGCTAACAAACTACTGCCGCTTGGCATTATCTCTAGCTTTTATTATTAGCGATTACCAACTGGAGCCTAATTAGGATGCTATCAAATAAGATTGACGTAATTCAATATAATTTTGATCTGAATTTCAAGTTTTAGCATATGTCGATCATAAAAGTCAGTCAATGGGAAGACAGATGGTTTCTTCTAATAGCTCTAAAATATGTATATATTACACCGGGATATATATGCATATACGCTTAGCTTATTATTGCTGTCTTGAAAATACTCAAACCATATTCGGTAATATTTTTAATTGTTTTGTTTAAAAAGTGTGCAATCAAAGTAAATAAGTTAGCTTTTAAATTTCCATCCTAAGGTAAGTACTCTGAATTCCTAACGTGCTATTTTTTAAATTAAAATAAAATTTTATTAAATCTGAAAATAAAAAATTTAGACAATAAATCTTTAAATAAAATAAGTATAGCCTGTTGTAAGTCAAAAACTTGAAAACTCTTTTAAATAAGGAGCGAAAATGCTAAGAACACCGCGATTTCGATTTATGATCTCAATAAAAAACAAACAATGGGTCCATCTATTGCCAAACGCAGCGAAACATTCGTGAGGATAAAATGCGCATTAAAATTTTAGAAATATGATATAAGACAAATTTTTTAAGACAAAAAACAACAATTTTTGAATGAACTAACTTTCATTCAACTAAGATAGGACCCAGACAACTGCACATGAGATTAACTTGGGTCAACCCCAATATTCCCATTAAGGGGTAGTGCGATAGACTTACCTCCACCTGGTGCACCCTGGGCAACATATAGTCATACGGCAAAAAGTCGCTTAACCGGCAGTTGACTTCTCACTTCAAACTACCATCACCCCACTGTATGTCATATTCGACTACTATCACAGTACTCACCTCACCTTTTTTCTACCTTTGTGTCTATCTCTTTTACATCTCTGAAGCATTCTTCTGTCTCCCCCCCCCCCCCCCTACTCTCAACTTTTTTCACTTTGATGTTCCTTCCCCTCTGTGAAGCCTGAAATCAACCAAAGGGTTAATGATAACTAACAAAACGTCTGCCATTTGATATAAATAAACATTCCCATTAAGTGGTAAGAGGCGTTTACTTGTCATTAAAAGGTACAACGATTAAACCAAGGAGAAGATAAAACGAAATAAGCGAAATTAAAGGGAGCCCTGATTAATATGAAAATGCAATAAAACTTAATGGAAAGATATTAATGACAAATATATGTAAGAAATGAGTTCTTTTATGCTCCAGTCAAATAATTGACTATTTTGGCTAATACTAGCGCTTATTTCTCATGTTCTTTTCACAAACATCCTGCGAAGCATTGAATACATCAAAGTATAATTGTGCTCATGCAAACCTGACTGACAAAAATGATCACACCGTTCAATAAAAATAATTGATTGATTACGAATTTCTCATATGAAACATCTTCCCTCTGTCAAATAGATGTATGGGAAGCATTTTCCTTTAATTAACTTGAGGATGTATTTTAGAACACTTCAACAGCCTTGTTTGCTCAGTCAATTCAAATACAAGGCATTCTCAAATTCTACCGAACATCGTAAATCAGTCCTACTAAATTAGCTCAATGATGACTTAGATGCTGAGAGCAGTTACATTAAAAACAATAGGATGAATATGGGATATGTCTGTTCACAGACTAGTCGAATTCAGAAATAATGACTTAATGGGGTGAATAGAGAGTGAACTATTGTTGAAAAAGTTTAAACTCCGTAAAATATGGGCGAATAATCGGATGCGAATTCCGATATACTAATTGCAGGATATAGAACTCTGAAAATTAACAATATTTGAAAATTATTAATAGCATGAAATGTAAATGAACTTACACAGTTAATGTGACAAAGGATTCTTGCTAAAAAACTCTTACTTAGTCAGTTAATGTTTTCGTATGTCAGTAAGAAAGTGGATCGCTCCCACTTATTACAAATAAATAAAGTGCAGTTGACTAAAGGGTAGAAAGTAGAAAGTATTTAAGAACTCAATATGACCCCACGCACAGTATCCTCTTGAGTATTAAATAATTCTACCACATTCGCAACGTACATCTGAGTCCTTCCGTCTATTGCCATAAGCTGATGGAGTAAGTAGATATAACATAGACGCAGGTGAGATGGAATCTGGTTCAAAATGAAGGAAGAAATCTCCAGTGGGAGTATAAGTTGCAGAGGGAGGTGATTGCGCTTGTTGTTGTCCAATCGAATTCAAGGAAAACGACACGCCAATTCCAGAATCCAGCGAAAGTCGAGGGCGCATTTTATCTCTTTTCCCCTTCGACTGCTTTTGCTGTGAACTCGTAGGAATCTCTTTTGATTGTTGCGGTATACCAGCGGCATAAATCATCTTACGTTGCATTAACTCTCCGGCGGAAGGATCCGTCCACAAGTGTTCGTTGGTTCGAGTCCTTGTAAAACTGTGTGTGCAAGGGCCTCCTAAACCACATAGAATGTTTTTTTCGTTAAGTTTTACCAGCAAGTCCTTTTTGAGCCTAATTGAGTTGCCGCATTACAGACGCTCGTATTCGTTTAACGGCTGTCACTTTAATTCGTGCTTAAAACCTCGGGATACACATTACAAAATCGTTTGAATTGTTTGCACTTAACAAAAACCATTATCCATTGCATTTGGTTAAAGACCTGGGGAATGATTGTTAAAAATATCTAACGCTAATGCAAACAATAACACTGAATATAATTTCATTTTGAGATATATAAATATATATATTATCTTTCCTCAAGTCCATAGCCTAAATGTACAGTAATTTGCGACTGACCAATTGGAGAGGAGGGATATCCTAGGGACAGACTTGCTATTTGACCAATGGAATTGAAGCATAAATGAGTAGGCGGTGATGTGAGTTTAAGGCCTGCTAGAAATGGCATGATCCTAGAAGCTTGAGAAGGAGAGTAGAGCGTACGTGGAACTTTGTGCGGACAATTTACATCAATGATTTAAAGGTAGATTAGAGCTGTAGGGTGGTCAGTTTTAAAAGGCTCTAAACCGGACCATTGAATAAACATGAGGGGTCACCATAAAGTTCGCAATGCTATCCTGCATATAAAAAGAAGATTGAAGTGATCCAACAATCCAAACTTTTAAACTCTATCACTTCTATTGTAGGCGAACCAGAAAAAATGAATTGAATTATGAAATGAAAGTTAATCTCCAACCTCAAAACATGAGGTTATTTGAGGACTAAGAGGACGGAATCGTAACCAGGCTCATGAAGAAATTCCCTATGCAATCGCTCCTCTACAATCAGCCAATATTTCACTGAGAGTAGAGGACACATGCCCAAATCTTATCTTTTGTTTAAAAGAGCTAAATAAAAATATTAAAAAAGGACTGTGGAAATGACTTACTTATCAAATCAGCAAATAAAGGTCCGTCAAAGGGATGCGACAAGATTGAGACACGTTCGTAGTTTGTGCTGAAGTGTTGCAAAAATGATAAAAGATGGTTCAAAGGTGTGCATAAAAAGCGTCTTCATACTTTTACTCAAGCGGGCACCCAATGAGTAAACAGTAGGTACTAGAATGTGAGAATAATAAACTTTTGTTATGAGGGTCACGAGGTTCATTAAAAGTCACTGACAAGGGGGGGGGGAAGGAGAATGCTGCTAGAGTGCATTTTCAGCGAAGGAAAGGTGAACTGACTATTTAACATGCTACGATACTGATTTATTTATAAAATTGATGACAGCCCATTAACGCTTTGTGGTCGTTGATTTAACTGATACTGCAGGCAAAAAAGAAGTGCCTAGTTGGGTACTTAACCGCAAGAGGTAAATCAATGATCCCAGAACAAGTTGGTGACGCACAAGAGGGAAGAAATACGAATGGCAAAGAGTGATTCCCCAATACAATGTTTGAAAAGTTTGTTCAAACAGTACAAGTTATTTGTGGAACTTGGTCGTTATTAACCAACTCTGCTACTTCCCTCGTACTTATGAGTTTCAGAACACTTCAGTGTCCGTCTATTTTAATTTTCGAAATTACTTTAAATTTACCAATATGTTAATCCCACAATATCAGTATTCTTCTTGAGGCCAAGCGTACGGTAAAAAAATTTTGCCACCAATATATAATGAAATTAAAAGCGCCAGTAATTTAGAAAAAGTGAAAAACTTAGGGACAGTTTTTACATTCACTTTGCTTCAATTTCTAAACAGAGGTTTGAGATCATTCCCATCGACAATTGAATTCAATAAGCAACAATTTGATGATCTAGATTAGCTTACTTGTTGATCTATCGGAATGAACAAATTTCTTAAACTAAGCTAATCTGAATAAAAAATTTGCCCTGGGCAACGTATATTCATACGACAAAAAAATCTATCAATGGGCAGTTGACTTCTGACTTCAAACTGCCATGATCCCACTGTATGCCATATTCGACTACTTTCACTGTACTCACCTCACCTTTTTTCTACCTTCGTCTTTGAAGCACTCTTCTGTTCCCTCCCC